GACGAGGATGATGACGATGATGATGATGACGACGACGATGAATCCCCGAAACCCGACACCCCAACCCCCGAATCCTGAACCCCTAAAGTGCGGCCAACACAAAACAGACACACATGGAGACACGCTGAGGGGCCGGACGCGAGCTCCAGACAAAGAGCGATGAAGCTTTTCGCCTCGCGGCTCACGTTGCGCCAGACCTGCGAAAGGTTTCAGGACTTCTTCTCGAGATATTTTCCTCTAGGGTTCACGCTGGACCTAAAGGCCTCGCAGCGGCCGGGGAGTTTCACCGCAGGGGTTCTGACTCCGAACACCACATTTGACATGTTGTGGTTTAGGACTTTACCCAAGGTTTACGGGCTTAGGGGGGGGGTTAACAGCCGAGTGGCTGCTTTCAACTGCTTTGGGCATGCCCCAGGCCAAACCAAAACCTCGTCTCTAGGCGTCTAAAGCTATAATGTAGGGGCCTTGATGATTAGAATATGGTTTTGGGGGTTCCTTACTATAATTATAGTCTGATATACCCCAAGCCCCAAACCCCATTCTAATTATTAAGGCCCCTATAGTACAGACTTCCGAATGCGCTTTGTGAGGTTCTTAGAACATAGTGGACTTCCTCGCCTTGACATGATGTAAGTGATGATCTTACAAAGGCTCTCTGAGTTCAGCAGGCTGCTTGTCAGGGCGGCATTTTGGGATGTCTTAAACTTCAGCGCTGAGTCGTTTTTGGCATTTTTTTGGTGTAGCAGCCTATCTCTTATCTCAAAACACCTTCTCTGTAGGGTCTAGACTGGGATCCCTTGCTCTCTGAAACTCCGACACTTTGAGCTCGCTAAGGCCCATGAAGTTCGGCATTTGGCCAAGGAGGCAGCCCCATGAGCTACAAGCGCTGAGCCCGAAAGCCCGAAATCCGTAGAAGGTTCAAAACGGCTAGTCTACTTGAAGGATCAGGGGACTTAGTAAGTAGGGTTATAACTAAGGTAACTATACTTATAACCCCAATGAAGGGGCTTATAACCTGAATTACTAAGTCCCAAGATCCTCCAAGTCGGGTCCAGGGTGAATGTCCCTAAGCCCACAGCCCAGAACATGAAACTGCGGCCATTGCGGCGCCCGTACATCCCCTTCAGAAAAACCACTTCTTGTGGACACAACCCAGTCTAGTCTAATCCCCCTTCGAAAGCCCCCTGAAACCTCGAAAAAAAAGCGAGTGCCCCGGTAAAAAAGAAGCCACGTCAGCGCCTCCGTTGGCATGAAAACATAACCTTGGAAGACCAGCGGGGCTTGGAGGCACAAAAGGGGCCTTCATCCCCTTCAAGGCCTGAGGTTTGGACGTTTTAAGGCATGCTTAAGCCGTTGTTCGTTTGTATGACGGGGATGTAGTGGGGAGAAAAAGGCTTACTGGGCAAGACCCTAAACCCTAAACCCTAAACCCTAAACCCTGAACCCGAACCAGCCCTAAACCTCTAGTGCTTGAAAACCAGAACCACAGCCCTGCACGGTTTAGAGGTTCGGGTTGGGGCTCGGATTTGGCCCTTTGTGTTTGGAATCTGGGTTTGTGGGGGTAGGGTTTTGGGGCTTTGGGGTTTAGGGATTTAGGGTTTAGGATTTCGGGGTGTTAGGTCGAGCGTTTCGAAGTTGGGGGCTTCCGGTTTCAGCGGCTCACGGCTCAGGGCTTGAAGGGTTCTGCGCTAAACCCTTCTCTTTCTTCCAAGGTCGATCCGTCCTGGGCCCCGCACGTGCATTTCTGAAGGCAAGGTTGTTGGAAGGGTCGGTAACTCCTTTGCCAGCATGGCTTTGGGTGTTGGGTTTAGCGTTTAGGGCTTGGTGACAGGGGGCTTTGCACTCCGAGAGCTTGCGCGAGCACTTGTAGGACACAGGGGGGGGTGGGAGTTCGCATCCGCCACTCAACATGTGGCCCCTCCTCCGTTCCTCCACCCCACTACCTGCTTAAGGGTTTAGGGCTGTAGGATTGAGAGCCTCGTCCTGGAGGTTTTGGCCCTTGCCGCAACCGCAGCAGCAGTTACCACAAGGCCGACTCTAGGGCTGACTAGCGGAACATTACACTAGTTATAATCTAGACCCTAAACCCTAAACCCTACACCCTAAACCCTAAACCCTAAACCCTAAACCCATTATAATATAATAAGGAACCCCCCAGGGCCTTGGCTAGGGAGCCTGACCTAGCCGCACATAGCGTGCTTCAGGTTCCCAAGTGTCGAGATGACTCTGCAGCCCCACGCTTACATGAAGCTCGAGTGATGCTGCGGGAACCCCGGCCTTTGGAGGGCTCGAAGGGGGATGCCCCTGAGAGCAAAAAGTACGCGATCACACCTCGTCCGGCAGGGATTGTGAGCTCAGTGGCTCGCTGTTCCCGAGGCTCTGGCTTGGCTTTACGGGGGCTTCTGGGTCTCGCGTACAAGATTCAGTTGCAGGACCGGGTCGAGATCGAGTTTCGGGTTTGGGCTTCAACGGCTTCAGTTCAAGGTGTGGGGGACTAAAGCCTGAACTGTCGAGTTGACGGTCTACGGCTCGGGTTCACGTCGAGGGTTTGCTTTCTGAGATTTCGTGTACAGACATCAACTGACGGCGTCGGGTTCAGGGTGTAGTTTCCAGGGTTTTGAGTTCTGCGCATTGGTATTTGCGTGCGGCTTTGGGAAGGGGCGCTATCAGTTGTGGATTCGAGGTAGGAAGCACGGCCAGAAGGAACAACAAACAAGAACTCACCAGTGTTCCTAAGGAGCCCTACACACCCCAAAACCACAACACCCTGAAGTAACCCTTCCCACATCGGCTTAAGGAGTTAGAGTTGCAGGGATCATGGGACTTAGTAATTAAGGTTATAAGTCCCTTAATTGGGGTTATAAGTATAGTTACCTTAGTTATAACCCTACTTACTAAGTCCCATGATCCTTTAAGTATGGGGACCCCTAATCCTAATACCCTAT